CTATCTGTGTTAAATAACTCTTTATTATGTTTGGATACTCGTTCTTCGTGAGAGTGAAAGTCGTAATGAGCTGTCACGTCSTGGTTGTCACGTCTGATATGATTTCGTGCCTTTTTCATAGCGAACATTTTAACGCCTCTAATTCAAGGACACGGAACCGTTAAGAACACCACATTACTTCAATATGAGAATAATCTACTTTCGTCCAAAGGACCAATTGTAAATAGATTACAATCTAATAGCCTTGAAAAAACTGACCTAACCTTTTGCAAATACTATATTTGTCGATCGCGACATCGTGATCTAATAATAATGGTGGATTAGTCATTCATGATTGCTACGCTAATTCTGACTTCTTAAAATATCACGTCCAATTGAGATGTTTATCGTAAATATTTATTTTCAGGTTGTCACGGTAACACCTCATGARCACGACCACCAGCGCTGTTTACGGGTGACCATTAACGGTCTCGTCATTGGTTTATCCTTACTTCAACCTTGAGAATGCAAACATCGATTTGTAAATATAGRCTCGTGTAAAGCGACTTCGGTCGTATTATGAAGGTTTCTACAATATTTGATTATTTGATATAATATTGGCGGTCGTTTTATGCGGGTTTATTTGCAATATTTGATACAATATAGGCGGTCGTATTGCTGCAAAAACAATATGAATATTCAAATTTTATCTTTTAAATTTTATCTTTTTTTATCTATTTATTTCTGTTCCCTCTCCTATTCTTCCGTGGTAAGTTGCTCCTTTTCGTTTTTGTTTTTTTTTTATTCTGTTATTCCCTTAGTTTCGTATTGCAATATCAAACGATTGCATGTTAAAATAATCGGCGTTCATATTTCATGTCAACGAAGGAATAAMCGGTCCGTAACTCTAGTTTCTTTTACAGTAGATAATATTTATCAATTGATCGCAATAGTAAACAGGACAAATGGATTTGTAAACACATCCACCGAAATCAAACCATGAAATGTTTTTCATGTTTACCAGTTAAAGTGTGATAACTGATGTGTTGCTTGGGATTACGCGACATATGTCAAAAACATCTCATTTTTGATCCGACACACGCAATTTTCATACAAATATCAACAAGAAAAATCGTTAAAAATACTTATTTACTTTCCATGTGTTCTCTGATAGGCGTTTCTTTGCTTTTAGAAAGTTGCCGAAAGAAAAAAGAAAATCAAATTAAAGTTAGCGTGCTCGTGGCTGTATATCGTTGTTCATATCGGAAGCTGTCGATTTCAGTTCTGTCTGTAGCCATTGTATTCATAGATAATGTTGACAAAAGAGACAAACGCGAAAAGATGTGCTTATCCTTTGTAATCATCTCCTGAAGTACCGCCATAATCAAGTACATGATTTTCCGCCACTCGATAACTATAGCTCTTGATCACGGATCACTTATCGAACAAAAACAACGAGCCTACTCCGCTGCYCCATMGTTTCCGTTGAAGTTTCCTACCGAGGAGGGTAGATGCTATTTTGGCTCTTATCTCGTTCAGATAAATTTAATCCACCTTTCGATAGCTATAAACCGGRTAACTAAAACTTTCTCAAGTCGGACTTGACAAGTTCCGAATATGGCGGCCTTTAGTATTTCTATTATACAGCGTTCGAYGAGAGAAAAGTGCGACGTGAAAGTCTATCAAAGATGGCCGGTGTCTTGTCATTGATATTCACATTTTGTGTGCATGATGGCTTCCTAAACAATATGAGAACAAGTTATAGAGATCGCGCGGACACTTATCATCGACGCAGCTTGTCAATCTCTGTTCCTGACGTAAGGTTAACCAATCCAGGTTTCCAGGCAACAATCACGTCTAGGTTAGAAAATCTTTACAGAAAACTAAGTAAAGCAACTGATGAGTGAGGRTTTATATCAYAYACCATTATTACYGAACACTGAAGGAGTGTCAATCACGAATCAAAACTATGTCAAGTATGAATGGAATGCCTATCAGCAAGTAGTAATTCAAATATTATTTCAGTATTGTATTATGATTGTTTGCAAAGCACAAGAACAGACTTTGATCCTTAAAAATCTTTCTTTTCTTGTGCCAATCATGTTCCCATCAGAAATATTGACCTTGATACTTCGTGGCCTGATCGCAATAACTTGTATTTCTCTCGGGCTTGGATCTCAATAACTCGTATTTCTCTCGGGCTTGGATCGTAACAACTCGTATTTCGATCGTCTAATATTTAAGGTGTAGTTATAATTTCTTTTCGGTGAAATAAGAACCGGATGTTTATTTGATTCTTCGGCTTTCTTATAAAAACTCNTCAAAGGAAGATGATATAGATATTCATATTGTATTATTGTAGTGGAGGTGGGCAGGATTCAGCATTCTCCAGTGTTGGTATTGTTGGTGAACTTCGACAACAAGTCTCCCAAATGCAAAMCATGTTGAAAGAGAAAGAACAGAAGATGTTGAGATACCAAGAACAACTACACACTAGAAATGAAGAATTAAGTACTTTGAAAGAACAGCTAGATTCACAGGTATCTGAAACATTGACATCTACATAAGTATTTTAACAATCTAGGAATTTCAGTTATTCATCTTTTGGGTTTCCTGTGTTGCTGGTAAAGATGTAAAAGTTAAGAGATACCATAGCATTATTGGGCAAAGATCTTCAGTTTTGCAGCTTGGTGTAGATTTGCTTATGGGTGTCCAAAAGGTGTGGAACTTTGGCTCTGTGACTTTGATACAACGTTGTACATGTACAGTAGCCATAATCCTTCTCAATTCACTTATGGCATCAATACGTCAGACAAGTTGTAGTCTGCTCAAGTGCAGAAATGTCCAAAAGCATTGGATGAACCAGCATTTTTATTTTCTTTTTGTTTCCATCCATCCTTGTTTTCCATTCCATGCTTCCACATGTTTTTTTTCTCATTTTTAAAATTAAAATTTGTATGTTTTAATCTTTATATTTATCTTCCTTCAAGTCACAAGTCAAAACCATCAAGACAATGAYGACTCAAGATCCAAACATCAGCACAAACACATTGGCAACGCTAAGAACCCAGTTAGCTGAAAAAGACAAAAAGATTGCACAACTTACCCACGATATTGACAAACTAAACAAGCAAAAAACACAAACTACTTCACTCATGAATACTATWCAAAGARARAACTCTGCCAAGGACACTGTGATYACTCAAACTAAGATGGAGAATGAGAAACTAAAGAAACAGCTCCGAGAAAAGGATGTTACCATATCAACCATATCAGCAAAGGTAGGATGATTGATTCATTGACGRCAATTTTSTATTTTGAGTGCTGTAACCATAGATTAACCTAATTACAACTCTTGTTTTCTCTCTAAAAAAAGTTRACCCGTCAGAAGGCAACAAAAGAAGYAGAGCTTGAAGCAGATAAAAAAGAAAAAGAGTTGAACTCAAGTAAAGAGGTTTGTAGCAATTTATTACATGAGGTGTCACACAAGGTTATATGTCAATATGCCTGTCATGCTTGTACAGTACAATCTATTAATAGAATATGTACTTAAATTTGTCTTCATTAAGACTGCACTTACCTGCTATTATTCATGTTACAAACAAACACTGTTCTTGTATCAACAACTCTGGATTCTTTGGTTTCCAAACAAATTGAATTTATACTCTAGTCATTGTACTTTGAAAATATTTAGTTTTGAACAACGATAGTTTTACATCACTTGTGATATTTTAGTTATGAGGGAGCTTATAGTCTCAGCTGTCAATTGAGGTCAAGGAATCTCAACTCTTGGCATCCAAAACCAACAAATTACAATCCTTGAAACAATAAAATCAATATGCAAATTGAAATTCAACAAGTATTTTGTTTGCATTTTTGCATTGAATGGCAACAACAGCTTTATGGAAGTGTTGGTACCAGACCTTAGTTTTATTATTAATATACATGAAATGACATTGATTGCATATCCAGGCTGTAACATCAGATATCTTAATATGATAAACAAACTCTTTTATTGTTCTTTCAGAGACTTCAAAGCACAGAGAAGCAGCTGAAAGACCGGACAAGACAAGTCAATGAGCTACAGAATGAGCTGGAGAGAGTCAAAGGTTCAATCTCAGAAACCAGACAGGTGCATATGTTATAAAATTATTGTTTTAAGTTCCATGAAGTAGTAAAACCATTGATTAATTCTGTATTGTAGTTTTGTTTAATATTCATAATATTTAGATTAATTGACACGACAGAAAGTGAATAATTTTATAAAATTCAGAATCATTCACTGTTGATGTTGCTCGTTTCTGCTGTTGCTGTTGTTGTTGTTATTGTTTTTTTTTTTGGTGTAGTATTAGTATTAATTGTTGTTTTTGTTTTTGCATCACTATTATGGTACATTAGCTGCTCTCTATAGTGTCACATTCATTCTCGACATTCACTTCTATTTCCACCAACTTTGCCTTCCTTACCATTTTGCAATTACATCCATTGCTCTATGTGTAGTCAGATACATCAGATGACAGTGCAGACAGTCAGAAAACATACTCTATACACGACGAGTACAGCTGTGAAATGCTTGACATCAATCAGGAAGATAGTACTAATAGAACATACTCTATACACGACGAGTACAGCTGTGAAGATAGTACTATTGACAATGAATACATGGACCTGTTACTGGTAGAAGAGAGTAGAGAGTTAGAAAGAAGGATAAGTTTACTAGAGTACCAGTGCAATTGTCTACAGGTTAGTCTACCTACTCCTTGCCTGGGATTCCTGTGGGTTTGAAAGTCGAAGAGAAATGGTGAAATCAGTTGGTGTCTCAGTTTTCTCTCACAACAGGAATGTAAAAATGCCATCTTTGAACAATTGAAGACAAAGGATTTTACATTAATTTGCGCAAACTATATTTCGCTATATTTTAATTACTTAGAGTGATTGCACTAAACCGTGCAAATGTACAAAATCTAAGTAGTACTAATTTGTACTAAAAGTGGACCTTAAGCAAGACGCTATTGAATGCTTCATTTGTATCAATCAAATTAAATTTGCGTACCGCATGCTCGATTTACTAAATACAACTAAATAGCACTATTTAGTGTACATTGTTTTGTACAGTTTCTGCACGGTTTTCTTTCAACTCTGTAATAATGTATGTTAACTGTAAGGTCTTCTGTTTTATGTATTAGAATGATCGAACATTACAGCAAGAGTTGGACCATGCCAAGGCTCAATTCCTTGATGCTAACAGAGCAGAGAAACTACTAAAAGTTGATATGCAGCAACTTGAGAAAAGGGTAATAATCCACTATTGACATGCAATCTYTGTCATTGTAGTTTGTAAAACTATGCAAACTAAAAGTGGGCATTTGTAATTAACTTTCTCATTTCTTGTTTTCAGTTTGATCGTTTTAGRCGTAARGTTATCCAGAATGTTCATGCTGGAGGCAAAAAGCTGACTTCGAACAAGGAACTGGATGACGATGAACTCCTGGATCTCGTCAAGGACTTGTCTCAAGATAATGTCAAACTAGTTGACGAGTTACGCGAATATGCAGAAGCAGAGGAGAAGGTAACACTTATATATTTTACTTATGATCATCATTATYATCATCRTCATYATTATCATCGTCATCATTATAATAATATAATCATTTTATTAGATGCAAGCGCAAAAAGCAGATCTAAAAGACGCCATGGCAACACTTCGCAAAGACATGGAAAGCATGGAGAGACATTTATCCAAATATGGAAGAGACTGTAATACACTTGAAGAAGAATTAACAAAACTAGAAGAGCTTCATACACATGAAAACTTGCTATGGATGAAGGTAAGCTCATGGGATCCCTGTTGTATACTTCTCAGAGAGACTGGTGCGGGAAAAAAAGGCAGGTAGTCCGATGCTAAACTTACGTACATATGCAAGCGTCCTTTACAGCGCTTCTGTGCTTTTTCATTCTGCWGTCTTTTGCTGCACTAGGACATGTGGGATAAACTCGAATTTCATATATGCGCAKGCGCAAAGGATGACTTTTTTGTTTGTTTTTCTAGGATGTAATGTCAAGGCTTTTAACCCATGAAATAACATGGCAAAAAAGAATAGAAGACACAATGAGACGAGCTGGAGTGAGAGACGACGATGAGGACGAAGGTATGTTGTAATGATAGACCTCGCTGTCTGTCTGTCTGTTTGTCTGTCTGTCACTTGTTTGTCCGTCAGTTTAAATATACCATTTTTTTGTAGATGACAGTCCTCCTTCTGTGGAAAGGTTRTGCAGACAATTGCAGAAACAACGGGACCAGTGCAGACATCTCCAAGCAAAGTGAGACACTAGTTGAATAGAAAATTGTATATAATTAAAATAAGGTTTACTTATAATTGTAATTACATTGTTCTAGAATCACTGAAATGGAGGAGACTCATCAGGATACARTCCTCAAATTACGAGAAGATGCCAAGCATGATGAAGAACGTAAGATAGCACGAGCCATTGCCGAAGTCAAGGGCGATGAAGAGGAAAAGCGGCATAAAATGTTACAAGACCTAAGAGTGCAAGAGCAGGAAAGAATTCGCGAAGCTGTGGAAACTGAGCGAAGAATTCTGGAATCTCAACATGGAAGTGTCACGCAACTACAGCAGGTAACGCAACATTTATTATTATTGTACCTGTGTACGTGAAATTTTTACATGTAGCATGACATATTAGAACAACATGGTGTTTATTTAAGGTGYAGGACGGTAGCTTCGTGATCGTGAGCGAAATTCATTATTGTATCTGTAGATTCTTTTGACTGTCACCGCATAACCACACTTACTTCTTACTGCGTGACTTAAGTAACACAATACATCCAGTCATRATACATGTTTTCTTTTCCATTTAAAAGACTCTGAGTGAGAAAGAACAAGAACTKCTTCGTCACAGACGTGCRCTAGCTGAAGCCAAAGCACAGTACGAACAAGCAAAGAATGAACTTGTAACTGCTAAAGACAGTGAGGTTGGTATACTTTACCATACATTACTGTTGTATATTTTTCAATGCAAGGAGTTTTGTGTCATTKTAATSAAAGATATCTGATGATTTTAYKGTGCGATATTTAGAGTTCWCTACAAACGCAGTTGCAAGAACTGGTTACAAGCCACGAATCACAGATAAAACAAGTCATCAAAGAAAGAGATGAACTGAAAAACTACAAACAAGAYGAAGTGACATCCTTCAAGGTTTGTCTAAACACATGAACAGAACACTGATTAAAACTTAAGGATAAGAAAGGATATATGGATGGGTGGATAAATGAAATATTGGATGGTGGATAAAAATGTTGGATGGACGAATGAATTAAACAGGATGCATAGATAGATAAATATAGAAAACATGAATGCAAAAAGGAACAAGATATTAATTGAGATTCTAAGCACTGACAAACAATACTTATTTGTTGCTTAGGAACAAACACGTCAACACGCCCGTACCATCGTTGCCATGGAAGACCGTCTGCTACTGCTGACCAAACAGAACAAGCAACTAGAAATTGAGCTGTCGTACTACAAACAAGGAGGTATGGGATCCCTGTGTATGATCCTCATAGATACAATTGTTATAGCTATCTCTGTTTCCAATATCAGGAAAACACAGACCGTCGTCTCCACGTAAAGAAAGACCACCTTCACCAAGAAAGGAAACAAGACCCCAGTCTCCTAAGAAGGAGCCCAAGCAAACTCGATCGGTAGAGACTGAGACGATTCCTCAGACCAATGTTGAGGCTTCGCTTAAATCAGACGTTTATAAGCTTGAACAGTTGGTGCTTTTGTTAAGGTAACTATTGTTGTTTCATTGATTGTTGCTGTCTATCTTTCTTCCTTTTTTATTTCCCTTTTTCTTTTCTCTTT